TTCTGAGTCTCTGGTGTCCTTTCGCGTGTTTTCCTCAGCTGTTTTCCCATATGGGAGTTTCCAAAAGTTAGGGGTACCTCACTCTGGGGTCCTTATAATAAGGATCCTACTATTTAGGTTACTACTGATCCCCTATTTTCGGAAACCCCCGTATAGCTGTTTTTGTTCAGTTCAGTCCCGAAACCCTAAAGCCCACAGTAAACTGTTCACGGCTTGAGGTTTTACAGGATTTCGCAGGGTTGAACAGTGCGGGCTTTGGGAAGGCTTTTCTACTGTCAGCTCACTCGGTCACTGGGGTTAGAAGATACGTAGTTTCGGGCTTATACGGCTTGATCCAGTGTCTATATGGGCTCCATCGCTTGTTTTGAGCTTCTTTGTGGAGCTCTTCAGGATGTAGGGCTTAACTAGGGTTCTAAACTCGGATTCCTAAGCCGGCATCGTCTGCCCTTTTTGCTGAAAAGCCCTAAACCCCAAACCCCGGAGTTTATATGCAGTCCTAAACTACTCACGGTGTCGTAGCTTCAACCCGTTCAGTGCCAGGGTAAAGCACCTCACTGGGCATATGGACTACCGGGTACGGCCTGTCCCAAATCTGTAACCCTAAACCCTAAACCCTAAACCCTAAGCCTTAATCATTAAAGCTCAAACTTGGAAATCCTGAAGCTGAAGTTCAGGGGCATAGACTCCTAAACACTGGACCCCGAAGCCCCGTAGACCCCTTATGAAGGAACCCTGAACCCCAATACAGGGGCCTTAATAATGAGACTAGGGTTTTGGGGCCCATTACACTACAATCATAATAAGGAAGCCCCAAAACCCTATTCTAATTATTTGGGGCCCATTATACTATAATCATAATAAGGAACCCCCCAAGACCCATTGGAAACCCTAAACCCTTATAGTAACCTTATAGAACCCTTTAAGGAACCCTTTAAAGGAACCCCCAAAACCCTATTCTAATTATTTGGGGCCCATTATACTATAATCATATAAGGAACCCCCCCAAAACCCATTCTAATTATTAAGGCCCCTAAACCCTAAACCGTACATCAAACCTCACGAGCTGAGCTTTCGACATTCTGCAACTCGACGGCGCCCGTGCGCAAACCGTAGAGGGAAAGGAGCGCCTCCTGTGAAACGCTTGGAGTCCCGGTCCCTAAATAAGGGTGTAGGGTGTAGGGTCTAGGGTTTAGGGTATAGGGTTTAGGGTTTAGGGGTTTCAACTAATCTAAGTGCATGTACATGAGTATATATGAATGTGTATATGTTTTGGTATACCATGCCTGTACTGGAGTCGGACGTATACCGATACTGTATGTATATACACATGTATGTTTGTGCGTGTATGCGTTTGTGCATGTGCATGTGTATGTCTACGTGTATGAACGCCTGTATGCATGTATGTATGCTTGTACGTATGTGTGTAGGTACGTACATATTTACGGATTTGTGTGTGCGTTGTGTATGTATGCCTACTTGCGCATGCATACACATACGCATGACATATATGTGTATGCGGATGTATACGCGAACCCATGTCCGAGAACTTCCGCAGCCGCCAATGATACACCCCTGCATACTATAGTGGTCTTAATAATTAGAATAGGGCTTTGGGGTTACAGTATAATTTAGTTATATTTAGTTATAATAGACTTATAAGGAGCCATATGGAGTAGTATTTGTAACTATTCCGGCCCCTATATCACTCGATTCCCTGGATGTGAGCGTTCACGAAGCGGACAGCTCTTTGAAGTCGGAGGGGGCATTCGTCGGTTGTACTTCTGTCAAAGCGGATACACATATGCAGATGTATATGTATATGATTGTATGCGCCTTTGGCTATGTCTATGTACATGTACAGATCTATATGTTAAGTCCAACACCTGAAAGCTACGGGTCGGGAGCTGCAGAGGGTCAAGAACCCAAGCCAGTCGAAGCGCCTCCTCCCCAAAAGTCTTAGGTTTAGGGCTTGCCCGATTAAGCAAGCTGCAGCAAACTTGACAGTGCGGCTACCTTAGCGGGATAACTGTATTTATCTACACGCATGATACTTGTTATGGAACCTACATACTAAGTCCCAAGTAACCTATGTAAGATCATCCCATCGCCTCAATACGGGGCTCGGAACCAATGTGAAAAAGTGTAAACTTGAGTTCTATGATGGCTCTTAATTTCTAATTCTTCCAAAGCTATTCTATCATGGCTCTTACCTACAGCTTTTCCGGTACCCTAATAAATCCAGACCTCACCTACACCCCGCACCCTGAATCCTAAACTCTAAACCCTATACCCCTAAATCCTAAACCCCTATACCCCAAACCCTAAACCCTAAATCCTAAACCCAATACCCTAAACCCTAAACCTCTATACCCCTAAACCCTAAGCCCCTACAGAGCCCTAAACCCGAGGTCGCCTTGTGAATCCGGCTTGCCTGGGCGACCTGCAAAACAATGGGGGAACGCAGGTCCGCTATACGTTGGCCTTAAAGTATTCGGTTTAGGGTTTAGGGTTTAGGGTTTAGGGTTTAGGGGTTTAGGGTTTAGGGTTTAGGGTTTAGGGTTTAGGGGTTTAGGGTTTAGGGTTTAGGGTTTAGGGTTTAGGTACTTTGG